CTTTCATCTCTGAATTTTCAAATATCTTGGGAAGTTTTCTAAGTCTTCTACAGTGAAGACAGGCTGTTAAAAGATGTACTAATGATACATCAAGTTATAGACCTAATCATATTCAACTGCATGATCGTCCCTCCTTAGGATCAGAAGACTTGATGATTACACAGCGCTCAGTTCCATTTCTGACTTCTCAGATAAAAAAACAGCACCAGCCTGTATACAGACAGATCTGGACAATGTTCAGGATTGAGCTGATAAATGGCAAGTAACATTCATGCTACACAAGTGCCAGGCAATAACCATCTCCAAAAAGACATAACCTAACCATTTCACCTTGACAATAAAAGGCATTACCATTGCTAAATCCCCCACCAGCACCATCCAGGATCACCAGTAACGAGCCAAACAAATACTATAGCTACAAGAGCAGGCCAGAGACTGGGAATTCTGTAGCAGGTTACAGTCTTCAAAGCTTTTCCATCATGTGTAGACAAGTCAGGCTTGCAATGAAATACTACCTGTTTGCATGAGTAAGTGTGACTATGACAACACAAAAGGCTCAACACTACCCTGCACAAACCAGACCACCTAACCAACACACCATCATCAGTAGATCATGGCTGCAGTGCCTATGATCTACAACAAACACCGCAGCAACTCGAAGGTTCTTCCAAACCGCTGGCCTCTATCAACTAGAAATAAAAGGGCAAATGGCACATGATCACTACCAACAAGAAGTACTCCTCAAACTCTCACACCATGCTAAAGGTGGAAGTGTATACAGTAGATGTTCACTGTCACTTGGTCAAAATCCTGCAACTGATTTTACTGAATAATGGACCAGGCTCAAAGTACTGAATGGTTTGTACATCCTCCTTAAGTCAGGAAAATAAGGTGGCACTGGATGATTATTTTAATAGAAATTAATGCAACGATATGGAGAAAAGGCAGGCAAATGACACTAGTCATAACATCAACACAGTGTGGAGCTGCAGGAACACAGCAGGTTAGGCACATCAGAGGAGCAGGAGAATTGACATTTCATGCCTAGAACCTTCAGGCCTGAAATGTCGACTCTCCTGCTCCTCTGACGCTGCCTGACTTGCTGCGTTTCTCCAGCTCCACACTGTATTGACTCTGACTCCAGCATCTGTCAGTTCTTGCTATCTACCAGTCATAATATCATTGGAGAGCTGGTTTCCTTGTGTATTATATATGTGTTTAGAGAAAAGAGGAAACACAAGCCCTTCTCCTGAAGGATTCTCCACCTAAAAGCAGTTGCTGTCCCATGATATTCAAGCTCTTCTGCCATCACCACTGAAAATTTCCTGGTTCTACCTACAACCATGACTCATCACTAAGAATCAAACTCTTTCATGAGACACCTTGAAATAGGGCAAAATGTTTACAATTTAAATATCTAATTGACCCATGAAAACAATCCAGCAGTAAAATTATAGATTTTAGCTTGTCAACCTTGGCTTGTTTGTGAAGTGATCATTCCATGCTGTGAATAACTGAAGGAGTACTTGTTTTTAGAAGGTAACATTTGCAGCACACAAAAGTGCTAGGCAACAACTATCACCAACGACAGAACCTTACATCACCGCTTGAGATTCAAAGTAATTGCCATCGGTGAATTCCTCGCTACCAACACTGTGGGGTTAACTCAGAGCAAAAACTGAACTGGACTAGCCATATAGTCATAAAGAGGTACAGCACAGAAATAGTCCCTTCGGCCCAAATCGTTCATGGCGACCAGATATCCTAGATTAACCTAGTCCCATTTGCCGCCATTTTACCCATATCCCTCTAAATGCTTCCTATTCATATATCCATCCAGATGCCTTTTTAATGCTGCAATTGTACGAGCCTCCACCACTTCCTCTGGCAGCTCATTCCGTACGTACACCACACTCTGCATGAAAAAGGTGCCCCTTAGTTCCCTTTTAAATCTTTCCCCTCTCACCTTAAACCTATGCCCTTTAGTTTTTGCTTCTCCCATCCTGGGGAAAAGACCTTGTCTACTTACCCTATCCATGCCCCTCATGATTTTATAAACCTCTTTAAGGTCACCCCTCAGCCTTCGACACTCTAGAGAAAACAGCCCCAGCCTATTCAGCCTCTCCCCATAGCTCAAACCCTCCAACCCAGGCAACATCCTTATAAATCTTTTTCTGAACCCTTTCAAATTTCACAACAACCTTCCTATAACAGGAGACCAAAACTGCATGCAGTATTCCAGAAGTGGCCTAACCAATGTCCTGTACAGCTGCAACATGACCTCCCAAATCCTACACTCAATGCACTAATCAATAAAGCACACCAAACGCCTTCTTCACTATCCTATCTACCTGTAACTCCACTTTCAAGGTACTATGAATCTGCACTCCAAGGTCTCTTTGTTTAGCAACACTCCCCACGACCTTACCATTAAGTGTATAAGCCCTGCCCTGATTTGCCTTTCAAAAATGCAGTACCTCACATTTATCTAAATTAAATTCCATTTGCCACATATCGGCCATTGGCCCATCTGATCAAGATCCCATTGTACTCCGAGTTAACCCTCTTCACTGTCCATTACACCTCCAATTTCATCTGCATACTCACTAGCCATACCTCCTACGTTCACATCCAAACCATTTATGTAAATGATGGAAAGCAGTGGACCCAGCACTGATCGTTGTGGCACACCACTGGTCATAGGCCTCCAGTCTGAAAACCAACCCTCCACCACCACCCTCTGTCTTCTACCTTTGGGCCAGTTCTGTGTCCAAATGGTTGATTCTACCTGTATTTCGCGTGATCCAACCTTGATAACCAGTCTACCATTAGAACCTTGTCGATCGCCTAAATGAAGTCCATCTCGATCATGTCCACTGATCTGCCCTCATCAATCCTCTTAGTTACTTCTTCAAAAAACTCAATCAAATTCAAACACAATTTCACACGCACAAAGCCGTGTTGACTATCCTTAATCAGTCCTTGCCTTTCAAAATACATGTAAATTCTGTCCTTCAAGATTCCTTCCAACAACTTGCCCACCACAAATATCAGGCTCATGGTCTGTAGTTCCCTAGGTTTTCCTTACCATCTTTCTTAAATAGTGGCACCATGTTAGCCAACCTCCAGTCTTCCAGCACCTCATCTGTGGCTATCATGATTACAAGAGCAAGACAGTGCCTTCAAATTATGCAGAGCAATTTCATTCCTCTCTCCCCAGTGCTTGTCTACATCGCAAGGCACAAGTCATCTACAAACATGAGGGAATACCCCCACCTGCCTGAATTGGTACAGCTCTAACAACAATCAAGAAGTTCAACATCATCCATAACAAAGCAGCCTATTTAATTCACATTGCATCCAATATCAAAGCACAGGTGACACAGTGGCTCAGTGGTTAGCACTGCTGCCTCACAGCACGAGGGACCCAGGTTTGATCCCAACTTCGGGCAACTGTCTGTGTGGAGCTTGTACATTCTCCCTGTGTCTGCGTAGGTTTCCTCTGGCTTCCTCCCATTGTTCAAAGAGGTGCAAGTTAGGAGGCTTGCCCATGCTAAATTGCTCACAGTGTCCAGGGATGCGCAAGCTACATGGATTAGCCAATGAGAAATGCAGGGTTACAGGAATAGGGTAGAGGGGTGGGTCTGGTTGGGTGGCTCTTCGGAGGGGTGGTTTGGACTAGATGGGCCAAATGGCCTGCTTCCACACTGTAGGGATTCTATAAAAAAGCAATGTCAGCAGTGTACCATCTACAAAATGCACTGAAATAAGTCACCAGGGCTCAATTCACAGCACTTTATAAACCTGCAGCATTTACCACCGAGAAAAGCAAGGCAGGAGATACAAAGGAAACCTACAATCTGCACATTCCCCTCCAAGCCACACTTCATCCTGATTTAGAACTCTACTGTCCTTTCGTTACTGCCACCAAATCAAAATTCTGGAACTCCATCTCTAAAAACACTATGGATGCTCCTACTCACAAAGAACTACAGCGGTTCAAGAAGGCAGCTCACTACCATCTTTTCCATAGCGATTAGGGACTAGTCAGTGATACCCATACCACATAAAGATTTTTTTTTAAATTAAGGAGTACTTTTGATCTTTGCTTCGTCAAGTGTTTGCAGCAGTAATACAACAGTTGTGATTATCATTAGTTATTTCATGCAGTACATCAGCACCATACATGAAATTAGCTTGGTGGTAACACAAGACTTTTCTGTCACATATTACTGTATTTCAAAATGGCTTATCTCTGTTTGAACCTTGTCTAATTTAAGCTTTATTTGAAATCATGCACATAAGTGAATGTAGTCTACATAACTTGAGTACAGTAAGTTGTGACTGAAAGGCTGTAAAATTTCTAGGTGCCAAACACACACATGGCATCTTTGAAACACTTCGCAGCATATTCGCACAATTAGTATTTCTAATTAGAAGAAAAATTACAATGAAAAATTGTAAAATGTGTTATCCACTCTATAGTACTGTTGTTAACAACACCTTGCTGAATCTGAATCTGCAAAGCTAACTGTAATTTTGTTTTGTTGAAATATGCAACATAAACAAGGCTGTACTGTGTTGAAAGTCTGTCAAATCTTTTATTCTGGCTGCTACCTGATAATTAATTAAGAAATTAGTAAATTTAAGCCATATCCTCAAAAACTAAACTGTACTTGGGGTGTCACTACATCAGCTTAGGAAAAAAATACGTTTATCCCAACTTCATCTGGAGAATGTGTATACAGCAACTACTTGACTGCTTGTGCACAAAATCACCAATAATAAATATGATTCCAGCGATCTGTACCACGACCAAGTTTCGTTCTTCAGTTAAATCAGGAGTGAGTGAGTGAGTGAGAGGCCCAGAGCTGAGGTTGCCCTCTTACTGCAGAAAGGTGCGGGATTACAGGCCCGAACGGCCACCGCACCCTACCGGCTCCGGGCAGCGGCACAACCTGAGAACAAATCAGCACCCGGTGCGGCTGGTGCTCAAGTACCTTCGTCATACTTCAGTCCGCGGACATTTCTATGCCTGGCCATGCTGCTCACGGCTCATCCGCGCCGTGTGTTTGCGCTTTAGTCGACGTGACAATTTTTTTTTCAGGCCACCACCGTCGCCATATCCCCAGGCCGCGCACGCGTACTGACATCTCCCGCCCCGTTGCGCCGTCGCCCCCCGCGCACGCGTGCTTTGGAATGGAATGTCGGACTGCAGGAGCCCCTGCATCTGGGATTGAGTGACAGCTACCAGGCCCACCCTGACAGCAATGCAACGTTGTGGCTGGCTTTGTCTGTCTGTGTGCGCGCGCAACGTGGCGTGAACTTGCTGCGCTTCCGAGGCAGGTTGCAGTGGTGTTTATAATCAAATCAATGCGTTCTTGTTTCTTTTCTATCATGGAATGAAAATCTGACACTCTTTCCCCCGCCACATCCCCCTCCAATTCCAAATCGGCAGGGAGCAGATTGGACCTGAACCCGGGCCTCCTGGACCAGAGGTACCGCTGCCACTGCGCTCCACGAGCCCTCGACCGCGCCTGTTAGTTTGGCATTCAGCGCACCGAACTAAGCTGAGACATTATTGGGATGTATGAGTGCATGTGGCTAATATACCTCTTGCAGCTTTACAAATCAATCATTGATTAACATCAGAATGATGCAACACAATGGGAGCTGCCATTCAGCCCTAGATAGCTGTGCCGGGTATTTGTTCACTTCGCCCTTAGATGCCTACAGCATCTTCATTCGTAAAGCCCTGTTTGTCTCATTCCTTCAAGTATTTATCCAGCACCCTTCTATGTTCGAATCAGCTACCACAATTCTATAAGTCATTATTCTAGTTGATAAAGGCTCACTACTACATTGTGTTATTTGTACTCGGTGCCTCGACAAAGCTGAAGATCCCAATTTTTTTAACCAGCCTTGCCACTTAAAGAATATAGAGTCATCCAGCACAGAAACAGACCCTTCAATCTAACTTGTCTGCATGACCAGATATCCCAAACAGACTTAGTCCCATTTGCCAGCAGTTGGCCCATATCTCTCTAAACCATTCCTGTAATATGGATGTGCAGGTGTTGGACTGGGGTGGACAAGGTCAAAAATCACACGACGTCAGATTACAGTCCAACAGGTTTATTTGAAAACACTAGCTTTTGAAGCTCTGCTCCTTCCTCCAGTGTAGTGTGGAAGAGGAGCCATACCAACACAGAATTTATAAGTAGAAAGGTAACAACCCAAAAAATGGCTCGCTGACTGTCTCCTGTTGAATCTTTAATTAGTTAGAAATGAGACACAATTTTCTGTTGACTAAAATGCAAATCCAAGAATTTTTTTCAAGTCTTTGCCCCAAGATAATTAAATGTCAGTGTACACAAGAGGGGATACCTCAGGTCAGACATTGCATTTGTTTAGAATCTGTCGGTGTTTTAACCTGGAGTCAGGCTGTTTATTTTTGAACAAAACAGCAATTACACAAACATCTTAGATGAAATAATTCATCCCATAGATTTATATGTATGTGTGTGTGTGAGAGAGAGAGAGTCTGTGTGATTGTGTTCGTGTGAGTGTGAGACTATATAGTATGGCGGAGTCACCTGTAGTGCGACATGAACCCAAGATCGTGGCTGAGGTCGTTCTTATGGGTATGGAACTTGGCTATCAGCCTGTACTCAGAGATTTTGTGTTGTTGTGTATCTCGAAGTCCGTCTTGGAGGATGCTTACCCGAAGATCAGAGGCTAAATGTCCTTGACCGCTGAAGTGTTCCCCAACTGGGAGGGAACATCCCTGTCTGGCGATTGTTGCGCGGTGTCCATTCATCCATTGTTGTAGCATGTGCATGGTCTCACCAATATACCATGCCTTGGGACATCCTTGCCTGCAGTGTATGAGATAGACAACGTTGGTTGAGTCATATGAGTATCTGCGGTGCACGTCATGGCTGGTGTTCCCACGTGTGATGGTAGTGTCCATGTTGAAGATCTGACATGTCTTGCAGAGGTTGCCATGGCAGGGCTGTGTGGTGTTGTGGTTAATATTGTCCTAAAGGCTGGGTAGTTTGCTGTGAACAGTGGTCTGTTTAAAGTTTGGCAGTTGTTTGAAGATGAGAAGTGGAGGCATAGCGAAGATCGTGGTGAGGTGCTCATTGTCATCGATAATGTATTAAAGGCTGTGAAGAACATGGCATAGTTTCTCCGCTCCCAGGAAGTATACTGGATGACGAAGAGTATCCTATCGGTCGTATCCCATGTCTGTCTTCTGAGGAGGTCATTACGGTTTGTCGCTGTGGCATGTTGGAACTGGTGATCGATGAGTTGAGCTTTGTAACCCATTCTTATAGTGTCCTTCTGATATCCGTTGCATTCCCCTTCACCTGAGCAAATCCTGTGTATGTGTAGAACTTGTCCATAGGGGATGGCTATTTTATTATGTGTAGGGTGGAAGCTAGAGAAGTGCAGCATCGTGAGGTTATCCATAGGCTTGTGGTAGAGTATAGCCAAGTTCCGTACCCATGAGGATGGCCTAAATCGTGATCTTGGGTTCATGTCAGGCTGCAGGTGACGCCACCACACCGTATACTCACACACAATGTCTCACACAAACACACTCACATACACACACTCAAACAGACACTCTCTCACACACACACTCTCTCTCACAGACACACACACACACCCTCACACACACACACACACTCCCTCACACTCACACACTCACCAACAAGCACACGCACACTCTCTCTCCCACACACACACTATATCTCACACACACTCTCTCTCTCTTACACATGCATATACATATACATATAAATCCGTTAGGTGAATTATTTCATCCAAGATGTTTGTGTAATTGCAGATACATTCTATTTTGTTCAAAAAAAACCCAGCCTGACTCCAGGTTAGAACACAGACAGATTCTAAGCAAGACCTCACACCTAAAATGCATTGTCTGACCTGAGATGTCACCTTTTGTACACACTAATAAAACCTTTAATTATCCCGAGGCAATGACTTGAAAGAAATTCTGGGATTTGCATTTTAATCAATAGAAACCTGTGTCTTCTTTCTAACAGACTAAAGATTCAACAGGAGGCAGTCAACGAGCCATTTTCAGGGTTGTTACCTTCCTGCTTTTAAATTCTGTGTCAGTATACATCCTCTTCCACATATACCTGAGGAAGGAGCAGAGCTGATGCTGCTAGTGTTTTCAAATAAACCTTTTGGACTATAACCTGGTGCCGTGTGATTTTTGACCTTAACTCTTCCTATTCATATACCCATCCAGACGCCTTTTAAATGTTGTAATTGTAACCGCCACCACCACTTCCTCTGGCATCCCATTCCTCTGCTTGAAAAAGTTGCCCCTCAGGTCCTTCTAGACACGTGAGGATTAATCACGGATAGTCCACACAGCTTTGTAAGGGGAAAGGCATGTCTAACAAATTTGAAACTTTTTGATGAGGTAGATGAGGGTAGTGCAGTTGATGTAATTTACATGGATTTCAATAAGGCTTTTTGACAAGGTCTCAGATGGCCAGCTGGGTAGGAAATTGAACCCAGTGTAATTTGGGATCCAGGGCAATTTGGCAAATTGGATCTAAAATTAGATTAGTGAGAGGAAGTTGTAGGTGATGGTCAAAGAATGTTTTTTGTGACTGGAAGCCTGTATTCATTGGCATACCACATGGTTTGGTGCTGGGTCCTTTGCTGATTGTTGTATGTATTAATGCGGGAGACATGAATGTAGGAGGTCTGATCACTAAATTCACAGGGGACACAAAAGTTGATGGTGTAACTAGCAGGAACAATAGCCTTAGACTACAAGACGATACAGATGGACTGCTTGGATGCACTGTACAGTGGCAAATGGAATTTAATCTTGAAAACGGTGAGGTGATGCACTTTGGGAGGACTAACAAGGCAAGAGTGTGCATTATGAATGGTAGGACCCTAAGAAGTACAGAGGATTAGAGGTACCCTGTTGTACATGTCCATATATCCTTGAAACCAGTAAGATAGGTAGATAACATGGTTACTAAAGCAAATAGGATACTTGCTTTTATTAGTCAAGGAATTGAATATAAGACCAATGGTGTTATGATGGAACTGTACGTTACATTAGGCCATAGCTGGAATACTGTGTGCAAATCTGTTACCCACACTATTACAATGATGCAATTGGACTAGAGAGGTTGCAGAAGAGATTTGCCAGGATATTGCCTGGGCTGGAACAATTCAGCTAAAGTATACTATAAAGACTGTGGTTATTTTCATTAGAGCAGAGAAGGCTGAGGGGGGGAAATCTCATTGAGATGTACAAAGTTCTGAAGGACATAGGACATAGATAGGGAGAAACGTTTCCCTTTAATAGAGGGGTCAATAACTAGTGGACACAGTTTTAAGGTAAGGAGCACAGGGTTTAGATGGAATTTGAGGATTTTTTTTACCCAGAGGGCTGTCATTATTTGATTGATTGATTTTATTTAAATTGTACCGAAATGAAGTAAAAAGCTTTGTTTCTGAGTGGTACAGGCAGATCACAGTAAGCGAAGGAGGCACAGATCAAAAAGATTTAAAGGCATACAGGTTACATTGCAGGTTCCATTATTTGAGGCTAGAGTCCATTCAACAGTGTGATGACGGCCGGAAAGTAGCTGTTCCTGAACCTGCTCATGCGTGTGTTCAGGCTTCTATATCTTCTGCCTGACGGAAGTGGTTGTAGGAGGTCATTACCAGGGTGCGATGGGTCTTTGATGATGTTGGCTGCCTTTCTGCGGCAACGAGCCATTTAAATATAGTCCATGGATGGAAGTTTGGCTTCAGTGATGGTCTGGGCTGTGCACACCACCTTCTGTAATTTCTTATGGTCTTGGGCAGTGCAGTTGCCATACTAGGCCGTTATGCACCCAGATATTATGCTTTCAATGGTGCATCTGTAGAAGTTGCTGAGAGACCTGATGGACATGCCAAATTTCCTGAGACCCCTGAGGAAGAAGAGGCGTTGTTGTGCCTTCATGACTGTCGCATTTACGTCGGAAGTCCAGGACAGGTCATCATTTATCGTCACTCCGAGGAACATGATGCTCTTCACCCTCTCAACCTCAGTTCCATTGATGTAGATGGGGATGTGTTCTCCTTCTTTCTTTCTGAAGTCAATGA